TACGAGGTTCTTTTACATGCCGTAAAGCTACGACACGGGACCCACGGCTTACAGTCCCTCCTGGAAGACTTGTTCCCTGAATTTTTCCGCCCTTAAAAATTCGACGACCTCCGCCGGGTATTTGAACCCGCATACTACGAGTCACGAGGTGGGAACGTTACCTCTAGACTACAGAGGCCGCTCAGTAATAAAGTTACTATTGGAAATAATGTTTTCTACTCAGTCCAGCAAAATGGTTATAAGGAAGACAATTGGGGAGACCCAGTTAGTTGTCAGTTGCCACATGAGAGTTCAGTTCTGCACAGGAGGCTGTAAAGATGGAACCTGGGTGCTTGAAGCTGAAGAATCTTCTGTTAGAGGCCATTGCCAGGTAATGGCTGGTGAAGACACAGCAGGCTGGAAAAAGGCTTAGAGGGTGCTGTGGTGATTTGTAAAGTGTTGAGATTAGCGATAGTGCTGTAACTGAGTGTATAAGTGGTCAATAAATCCATTCCCCAATCCAAACACCATCTATAGTCACCCTTAAAATGTGACAAGATGATATACTGTACTATTGTGATAACAAACACTAAAAAACTTTTAGAACAGGTGAAACATGAGAAATTAGTAAATGTATTATAAATTAAAGTTTTCAAACACATTACTTGAAACAGTCCAACAGTGGTGTTTGTGAAGCAGATGCATTGCTTGGTTGCAGTAATTTGGTTACTTGACAGTTCAGATAATCAGGATTTCGATAATGAGCATTCTAGTATATTTCCATTTGTGAGAGTCAAGGGCAACTTACCAGTGACGCCAAGCCAGTAGGAAATTTGGTTGGCAAGCATAGCTCGAAAACAACCTGTCAGCCCATATCCATTTTCATGTGGCATACCATAGCACCACACTTGTTCAGTCTCACTGCTTGCAGCACCAACAAAAACCCCCGTCCTCTGACCCTTTAGGAGACAAGGGTTGACACCTTAACATAACAAAATTGTAAAAGAATACAATGTAGCCTTAACAGACAGTTGCACAGAAAGAATTATAAATTACATGCTAAAATCCATTTACTTAAAGAATATGAAAGTGTAACTATCATTTATAACTTGTAAAGAACAACTTAAAAGGTGCAGAGCTGTTACACCATACTCTTTACTCTCTTGGGCTGTCATGGATGGTGAAGTCAAGCTACAGATTTGGCACTTTGGAACATATCAAGAAGCATTTAATAAATGGGTGGTTAACTGAAAGTAACATGTGTTCATCTGAGCAGGGTACTTTGAGTGAGACAGCAATGATGAACAAACAGAAGGCAGCCCATGTACATCATACTGTGTATATCAACTTGCAAGCTAACCTGCATCCACAATGGCCTCATACACTCTCTCCAGCAGCAGACGACACTGTGGATCCATGATGTGTGCCTGTTTGTAGTTAATTCCNATACATCAACATTAGGCACAGTTTACCTGGTTACAGAAATTTTGTCTTGTCATCAGGCAATCACGATATACGAGGAGCGTTCCATATGTAATGCCTCCTATTTTTTCTAATGAAAACTACAACAGATACAGAAAGCATAATAACACAGTTAAATAGAGCAAGATTTCAGCTACTTACAGTTATTTTTTCACATAATCACCACCATTCGTTATGCACTTTTGCCAGCAATGAACAAGAGCCTGTATGCTGCGCCCATAAATGTCTGTGCCAGCAGAGGCTAGCCACTTTCTTACAGCTGCAATGACAGCATCGTTGTCTGGAAAATGTTGCCCATGGAGTCCATCTTTCATAGGCCCAAAGAGATGGAAATATGAAGGTGCTAAATCAGGGCTATAAGGTGGATGAGGTATTACAGTCCAGGCAAACTTTGCAATGTGCGCGGTGGTTGCAAACTGGTATGGGGTCTAGCGTTATCATGTTGCAAGTGAAAGTTTGTCTGTTTATCTGGCCTGATTCGGGAAATGCGGACTTTCAGTTTAGTCAGCGTCGTCTTGTAGCATTCAGAATTGACAGTCTCACCAGGCTCCAGGAATCCAACAAAATCACACCCCGCCTATTCCAAAAGACCGTGCACATCCCTTCCCTGGCGATGGCTGTGTCTTGAACTTCTTTTTTCTTGGGGAAACCGGATGTCGCCACTCCATGGACTGTCTTTTGGATTCTGGCTCGTAGTGGTGACACCACGCCTCATCTCCGGTGATGATGCTGTCCAGAAACTTGTCACCTTCAGCCTCATGCTGGTGCAACAGGTCCTGACAGACTTCCATTCGATGAGATTTGTGGTCCTGTGTAAGCATCAGTGGGTCCCAGATGGAACAAACTGTGATAATCCAGCTTCCCCAACATCGTTTCCGATGCATTACAGCCGATATTAAGCCATGTACACAGTTCCCTGATCGTTATCTGCCTATCTGTACAGATGAGCTGATCAAGGTGCTGTTCACTGTGAGGAGTGGCAGCAGAGCAGGAACGCCCAGGGCGTGGTTTGTCGCGCACTTCACTTTTACCACTGTTGAAACACACTATCCACCACTTCACTGTGCTGACATCCACTGTATTGTCTCTGTACACCTTTAGAAAGCGTTGATGGATGTCAATGGGTGCAATTTGTTTGGCAGTGAGAATTTCAATAACACGTCTCTTTACAATATTATATTTAAGCATCCTGTTGCACTCTATACAATATATGATATAAACTCCGTCCTAAGTGCAACAATATATTGTAGGTCTTTCGTCTTGCTTTCTTCTACACTACATGTTTTGGCTGCAAAAGGCCATCATCAGGTGTAAACGCTCACGTAGCTGTTACATTGCACCCAGTTTTAAAATTAAAAACATACAGGTCTTCCCAATTGTTCCCTCCGTCACTGCTAACAGGATCTACTTCGCTGATATTTGTCCAATTTGTACCTCATCTTTGCCATCCACACATGTCAATTTTGACCTTCATGAACTGGCACTTTTAAAATCTTTAGTTCCAACTTTAAAAATTCTCTTAAAATTTTTTTCCCAAATTCAAAATTTAAAATTCTCAGGGTTACTCCCCCACGTCTATAGTGCTGCAGCGGCTGAAAATAAGAAGTACCCGCTAACACCCCAGCTCATTCATCACACCTGATCCAGGGTTTTCTGGCCAAGCACGGCATTCTGCAAGTCTGCCAGGCTCCCTACTCTCCTGACATGGCTCCTTGTGATTTCTGGCTGTTCCCAAGATTGAAGACACCGCTAAAAGGCTCCCATTTTGACAGCCACGAGGACATCATAGAGAACATGATGACACAGCTGCACACCATTTCAAAAGAAGCCTTCCAGAATTGTTTCCAGTGATGGAAGGCCCGCTAGGCTAAGTGTGTGGAGTCACAAGGGGCCTACTTTGAAGGGGATTAGGTATTGTAACCGCCCAGATACAGAACTATGTTTTCCCAGCCCAAGGTCGGATACTTTTTGGACAGAGTAGTATTTTCATACATGGTAAAAATAAACTGAATAATTTAATACCATGTTCTTTCTACATACTAGAACGCTGAATTCTCTGTTTAGTTCCAACACATATACTCATAATGACACTTGTTAAGCGTTAAATAGCATGAAGATTCTATGTCATGAAAAATACTGACCATATTTCCAGCGCTGGTTGTCTTGTTTCACCATGTTCACTTTGTTAAACAGATTTTCCTGTAACTGATACACATTCTCTGATTCAGGAAAGTAGCCTGCTATTCCTGAAATGACAATCTGTTCCTTAGGTGTAGATTTTTGAGACTGCAGACCTGCATCGTGTGAGGTAGACATGGCTACAGCACTGGTAGATTTCACTGCAAGCAAAAGTATGGTTACTTTATGCAGACACTGCTTAAACTTGAATATGTAATCTGTTCATGCAAAAGACTTTGAAGTTTCAAAATGAATGATTTGTGGACCATTATGAGGATTCCTGAGAAGAATGATGCCAGATGAAACTAAATTCTGCATTATTATTTCAATCAGCACTATTATACACTAGATGACTGTGTGTTACAGGTATGTCCTAAATTGGATGGCCATCTTCAGTACATATTTCAATCGAATTATGACACTGCTTACACCATGCATTGTGGTAGAAGGTTACTGACAATTTCGAGTAATGTACTATGTATTTCCATTTTCAGAGCCAAAGAGTAAGCCCAGTGAGTAAACTGCAAGTGAACTTTACCAGCCTACACACCATCTCATCACAGACACTAGTTAACCTCCTAGTCCCTTCTGTGACAACCTGACATCTTCTGTACAGAAATTCATATTGCAGATGACTTTCAGGGCACAATACATCTGACATCAATATAATGAGTTGTTGAAGCATTTTCCACTGGTAGAAACTGGGAGTGAATGGAAGCACTTGCAGAGATATTTGACGACAAGTTTTAAAGCCATCATAACCCCACTGACAGGAAAAGAAAACAATTTGTGATCAGGTACATGAACCCTGCAAAATTTCACTGTCTCAAGGTACCACAGGCAAGCGATAACATGTACAAACCTGTTACAGTCCACCATATAATAGTATAATACAGATCATGAATGACAAAGCAGTGTTTTGTTTTATTATGCTGATTCTATATTGCGAATGCTGATTTTGTGTTGAAGTGGATATATGAAGTGCAGTTATACTTCATCATAGAATGTAAACAAGCGTCTATAAATTCACAAGGCATCTAGAAGATGTTCACATACAACAGTTCAGTAAATTCATGTCTGAGATCTCTAATCTGAAAACAACAGACCAACCAAAAAAATGCCTTATAAGGTTTACCACAACATATCAGATTGCTTGATTCAAATCTCAACAAAGATCATGAGCATTTCTAAATAAATTATATCTATAAATGTCTATAAATAATATGATCAGTTTGTGGTACATATGTAGGCTTAATTCCATCAGACATCTTAACAACACTATGAAATTAAGATGAATATACGTAGGTCATACCGAAAGTCACGAGCAACTTCATTTTACATGCAACCTGGGAACAGCAGATGAAAGAGAGTATGGTGGTAGGTGGAACCAGCTGTTGTGTTAACCTTGAGTGTCTTGTGACGTCAATAGCTTGCATCATGTGACCAGTATCACTCCCAACAAAGTGGCCAACAATGATATGTCGTTTTGCCAGCGTGCTGTCATCGAATTTCTTGTGAAAGAGGAAATCCCTGCTGCAGAAATTCGCCAGAGACTTCAGCGTGCTTATGGAAGTGTGTGCATGGGTGCGAGAAG